AATAATTGGATTGCGACGTGATGGTCAATGATATGATAATGAGACACACTTGTCTTTGAAGTGAGCACCATACCTGAACAAAGTGCTGTTAGAAATGATTGATTTGTGATGTGATGACCAATGATTTGACGACCAGACACACTTCTCTTCGAAGTGAGCACCATAGTTGGACAGAGTGCTAGTAGGAATGATTGATTAATGATATGATGGCCAATACTGTGATGATGCGACACGCTTCTCGTCCACATGACCACTATAGTTGAACAGAGTTCTAGTAGAAATGATAGACTTGTAATGTGATAGCTAATGATGTGATGATGAGACACATTTATCTTCCAAATGAGCACCATAGTTGAACAGAGTGCTAGTAGAGATGATTGATTTGTGACGTGATGTCCAATGTTTTGATAATGAGACACATTTGTCTTCGAAGTGAGCACCACAGTTGAACAGAGTGCTCTTAGGAATGATTGATTTCTGATGTCATGGCGGATGATATATTGATGAGACACATTGGTCTTCCAAGTGAACACTATAATTAAACACACTGCTGGTAGAAATTATTGGTTTCTGATGTGATGGCCGATGGGGTGATGATGAGACGCACTTCGCTTGCAAATGAGCACCATAGTCGAACATAGTGCTCTTAGGAATGATTGATTTATGATGTGATGGCCAATAATATGACGATGAGACAGGCTTGTCCTCCAAGTGAGCACCGTAGTTGAACACAGTGTTGGTAGGAATGATTGATTTGTGACATGATGACCAATGATGTGATGATGAGACGCCCTTCTCTGCCAAATGAGCACCATAATTGAACAGAGTGCTGGTAAAAAGGATTGATTTCTGATGTGATGTCTAATGATGTGATAATGAGACACACTTGTCTTCCAAGTGAGCACCATAGTTGAACAGAGTGTTAGTAGCAATGATTGATTTGTGACGTCATGACCAATGATGTATTGATGAGACACACTTCTCTTGAAGAGAGCACCATAGTTGAACATAGTGCTGGTAGACAGAATTGATTTATGATGCGATGACCAATCATGTGATAATAAGACACACTTGTCTTTCAAGTGAGCATCATAGTTGAACAGAACGCTCCTAAGAATGATGGATCTGTGAGGTGATGGCCAATGATGTGATGATGAGACAGACTCGTCCCCCAAGTGAGCACCATAGTTGAACACAGTATTGGTAGGAATGATTGATTTATGATGCGGTGGCCAATGATGTGATGATGAGACACACTTGTCTGGCAAATGAGCACCACAGTTGAACAGAGTGCTGGTAGAAATGATTGGTTTGTGGTGTGATGGCCGATGAGGTGATGATGAAGCACAGCTGTCTTCAAAGTTAGAATTATGGTTGAACAGAGTGCTGCTAGAAATGATGGATTTGTGATGTGATGGCCAATGATGTGACAATGAGACACACTTGTTTTCCAAGTGAGCATCGCAGTTGAACACAGAGCTGATAGAAATTATTGTCTTGTGATGTGATGGCCAATGAAGTGATAATGAGACACCAGTCTCTTCCAAGTAAGCACCATAGTTGAATACAGGGTTGATAGAAATGATTGGTTTGTGACGTGATATCCAATGATGTGATGATGAGAAAATTGGCATTCGAAGTGAGCACTATAGTTGAAGAGAATGCTGATAGGAATGATTGATTTATGATGTGATGGCCAATGATGTATTGATGAGACATACTGGCCTTCTAAATGAGCCCCATAGTTAAACATAGTGCTGATAGGCAGGATTGATTTGCGATGTGACGGTCAATGATATAATAATGAGACACTCTTGTCGTTGAGATGAGCATCATAAGTGAATAGAGTGTTCGTAGGAATGGTTCGCTTGCGATATTTTTCTTGAGCTATGCGAATATAGTTGATTTGTGTGCCGTTTAATGAAAAGGGTGCACAATCAAAAAGTTTAGTTTTGAGAAGTGTAATTTAAGGTAGAAGTTCGTGGATGGATGGTGTTGTCTTAGTTCGGTTTTGAATGGAATAATACTTTGGTATTCGCCAAATTATGTCGGTTGACGTGAAAAAGTCAAGGAATCACTTTTCAATAAAAGGTGTGTTTTATGGTATTAGTGCACTAAACGAAGCGTAGAAGATCATACTACACAGTCTTGAGCTGAATTCATAAAATCCTTGTGACTTCGGATAGGGTAGAGTGTTCTGTATAGCGATAGATGGCATAGAATGAGTTGGTTTGAAAAGATAATTCAGAGTATGTTATAGAAGTAAATTATATTTTTCCTGATACTTCAACTTAGCAAATATGTTCATATGCGTGAGGTTGTACATTTGAGGAGCTCGTAAGAAATTTATAAAGAAAATCATATTGGTCTTATGATTAGAGGTGCATCAAGAGCGTTTTGAAAAACGCTTTATTCGGAAAGAAATACTATGAAACAGAGATCTGAAAGTTAGAACATTCCTATATTTAATAGATATAATTTTGGCGTTGAAAAGTTTTCGGATAAGTTTTCTCGTTGATACTAATAAAGCATTCTGTACATTGAAGATTAAGATGAATAAACTTACATACACTTCACATCTCGGTTTTCAATCTTTTTGATTATTTTAAGTTGTCTAAAATACAGTGTATCGATGATGACGAGGTTTGTAAAATAAATTAACTTTGTATATGTATCGATCTAGTATATTTAATAATGCTTTTATTTAAGCTATGAGCGAAAATCGCTCCTGTAGCAGGAAAAAACCAACTTGATACAACATTTTTAAAAAGACAAGCTGAGGAGGAAGGAGTAAAAGGAAAAACAAAGAGAGAAACAAAAGCTTTAGTTAACATATATCAAGAGATATATATGATATAGATATTTGACAGAAGAAAAGAAGAGCAGATTTTCATTAATGATAACATGAAGTAAAATTGAACAGGGATAGACAATCTTCGGATAGCATTTTACGCATATTTTTACGGATTCTTCCTCTGGCAAATATTTTTCTTCTTTCATTTGCTAATGTTGGATTAGAAAGATATTCACGAAGGTATAGAATCGATAATTTGTGTTGTAAGAAATCTTCAAGAATGCTAGGATTTGTTACTAGAATCGTATGAATGAGCTTATCCCAACGTTTAGATGTTAATTTCGAAATAGATTGATATTTGGGTAGATTTTCGATTTCGATATTTCTTGCATCAAACCATTGATGTATTACTCTGGATATTTTTCGATTCAAGCACCCTAGCTGTTTCTGTTTTAATGGAGTCAGGATAGGATAAATGTTGAGTATCGATTGTAGATAGGGTCTGATAAATGCATTGTATAGCCGATAATTTACTTGTTCACTCATCACGCGGCTTGAATTTAATCGTTTGAATATATTCATGTTGGTACGAATTTTTGTTTTGATGTAGTCTATATATGCTAAAAGATAATTTAGCATCTAATATAGTGCCCAAATATTTGAATTTTTTAACGTGTTCGATATTATGACCATTGGATATAATATTTGGAATTTGTGGGACAACTTGACGATTAAAGAGAATCCAACATGTTTTACTAAAGTTTATTGGTTGTTTCCACTTGATTGAATAGTTAATCAGATGAAGTACATGTTTTATTTGATGAAGATATTGATGGCGATGGTAAGAATAAAATGGCAAGATCATCGGCAAATAAGTGTTTCCAATGGATAGTTGATAATGCTTCCAGAATATCATGATGATATATAATGAATAACACTGGCCCAATACAACTGCCTTGTGGAACTCCTTTTGAAAGATTGAACAAGGTAGATGACGTGTTTTTAATATCGATATAGGCTTTTCTTTGTCTTAAATAATGACGAAGCTAAGCGATTAAATATAATGAACATTGCAGATTGGTTAATTTTACCCATAGTCCGTTCAACCAAAGTTGATTAAACGCAGTGCGGAAATCAACAAAAAATGCAGCAGCTGCTGTATTTTTTGATAAACACCACCCTATTTGATCTATAATAGCAACTAAACGCACAGCCATGTTATAACCGGGACGGAAGCTACTTTGTTCAGCTGAGAGAATACCTTGTTCGTTGATCCATTGATGAAAATGTATCAGAAAGCATTTTTTGAACAATTTTGAGAAGCACGGCGGTAGAGATATTGGTCTTGTTTCTTCAATATGGACTATCTTTGATTTTGTTTTTGATAAAAGGATCATTTTCGCAATATGCCAATGTAATGGTGTTTGCAAGATAGCTGCAAAGTTGTTCAAGCACAAGAGGATGAGTGACAGATGACCTGGAGGAAGTAATTTTATTAATCGATTTGATACTCCATCCATACCAGTCGAATTTTTATTTTTTAAAGAAGAAATAAATCGACGAAGATGATGGTAAGTAATATTAATGGGAATAGTCGGTCTGTTTTTCAAGATTGTTTCAATTTCAACAACAAGATTATTCTCTTCAATTTCAATTGCCAACTGAGTAAGTTTATGACTAGAAAATTGGACTTCGTAAAACGTTTTGTCAATTTTAAACATATCAATTGGCGAGGAAACCTTCTATAGGTGCAGCACAACAGTTAAAGTGACGCTTTGCTTTTTTTCCAGAAAGCTGTTGTATTACAATCATTAAACGAATTGCAGTACTTCAGCCACGATTTTCTTTTGTGGAGAAATTGCTCCTTTTTTATCATTTTAGACATATCACGTAAGACAATTGCAAAATGACGATGACGTGTTTGACGAAATAATTTAAGATATTGACCTTTTTGTTTAATCATATAGATAATATGTCGAGGTAAAGTTGGTTTGATTGTTTTTCGGAAGGTGATGAAGATAAGACGCGAGGTGCATAACGAAAGAAAACGTTCATATAATGAGAAGAAAGCTGCTGAATATGACATAGAAGCAGCTAACGATTGCCAATACGTTGCTCTAAATGTAAGAAAAATTTCGAGAGAGTTCCAACGAGTGTACTTGATAGAAAAACGGTGATGAGTGGAAGATATTTTAAATGATGGATGTCATAGAACAGGATGATGATCATTTCGAATACTTGGAAGAACCGAGAAGGAAGCAATGGACATATGCGATGGTGCGATACTTAAATCAATCGTTGCATTTGAACGAGTTGAAGTAGATATATATTTGTTAATAATTTCCAGAGATGAATGGATTGGTGATAAAGATTGCCAGCTAAATAAAGCTCGACCCTTTTGATTATCTGCGGATCTTGACCATGAATTGTGCTTAGCGTTAAAATCACCGGTAAAGATTGTATTTGGATTATGTTGAGGTAACCGATCAAATATATCAAGAGGAATGAGTTCAGTAGGTGGAGAATAACATGTAACTAATTGAAATATATCCAAATCTGATCGAACTTCTAGCACGATTAAATTACATAAATTGTCAAATTCAGCTACACGTTGTGAACGAATTGATTTATGCATCGCTATTAACAAACCACCAAACATATTTGTTCCTTTCATTGAAAACACATTGAAGTTAAAGAAATGAGACCTAAATTGTTTAACCGAATTATCATCATGATGTGTACCATTTAATATCACAGTTGATGATGATATGGAATCAATTAAATTAAATACGTCGACGAGGTACTTGTTTAAACTAGAAACATTTAATAGAAGAAGAGATATATTTTGTTTTATGCTCATCAAAGAGAGATTTTTATCATGATGGTTTGTCCATTTCTCAAGTAAAAGATCAAGTGTAGAAGTATCAGTGCATTCACATAATAATTCTTGAAAGATGTTTTCTTCAGCTTTTGTTAATTGATCGGTATGGATAGAATAAAAATTCGTTTGATGCAGTTTAAAAGTCATCGCTGATGGATTCATTTGACGAGGAATTTGGTAATATAGCAATAGTTCGTCTATCAAAAGCAGTTTGATTTAGTTGTTTCTTTGAAATCTTGTTTGAATTGAACAAGTAATGGCCGTAGCCGATCTTTCTCTGCTTGTTTGCTCTTACCAAGAAATGCATCACTCAGTTCACAAACAAATGGATAGAATTTGTTCATAATAAATTCTTTTAATTGATTAATTTCTTTGTGACATGAATCGAGAAGTTTATTTGAATTGTGAGTACTTCAAATAATCTTGACTTGTTCAGTTGAAAGATGTTCTATTTTGATCATAAGCAAATCAAGTTTCTTCGAAATGTCCAAGATTGCATTTGCATTTGTATTTTCTTGAATGTTTTCAATTGCACTAGATGGATGACTAGGTCTATTGCGTTTAGGTTGATTTGTTGTCCAAACGGAAGAAGGAAGATTTTCTTGATTCGATTTGTTGTTCGTGGTCGAAGAGAAGCTATTTTGATATCTTCTTCTTTCTTCTATTTTTATTGGACAATTTGGATTGTCTGCCATATGATCTTGACGGCAGTTTGCACAACAAATCCTGTTAATACATTTTGGATTGTATGGATGATTTTGGCCACAACGAAAACAAATAGGATTGTCCTTGTGTCGACAATTTGCTGCAATATGATCCTTGTATTGTTGACAATTGAAACAATGTAATATTCGAAGTGGTGATAAATAAGGTTGGAACGAAAATGACGTATTATAATCATCTAATAATAATCTTTAATTCTTGATAATTTTGTTGACTCCTAGATTGGAAGAGAAATCAATTCAAACTTTAGAAATTGGTAAACTACCTTTAATATAAAGACGTTCCAACCTAATAATTGTTGGATATTGCTTTTTGATATCTAATTGGAATTCAGTTAAATTTCATTGAGCATGAACACCTAATGCTATAATAGAACAAGAAGAGGGAACTTTAGATGACACATCAAGAGAAAAATTAAGAGAACATATTTGTTTTGGCCAAGTATTGTTATCCATTAAACGATCAAATTGTTCACTTGAGTTAGTATATAAAAGAAAACTTTTATTGTGTCCCATTTTTGAATATCGACCATAGGAAATGTTGATGCAATATTGCTTGTTGACGTCCTTAATAATTGAAAGTTTAGATGGTCTATCGTCAGCATTGAAAACGATACGAAATGGTGGAAATGACGGTCGAAGAGATGTCGAGTTCGTGGGATTTACTATGAAGTAAGATGTCGTTGGACTTAAGCGCGAATCGCTACTATTGAAGTATTGGTTGCGCGTGTTGACCAAACGATGTTCAAATTCGAATGAATCATCATCCTCTTTTGATCTTTTTGATATATTGCGTTTTGATTGGTTTTGATGTGCTGTTGATGAATTAATTCTTGAATCAGGTTATTCAACCTGATCGTTAATCAAGGTACTAATTTGATGAGGCTTATTGCCTCGGTCACTCATTATCATTATCAAAATAAGGATGAGTCACTGTCTCGTAGTATAAAGAAGTTTTGTATACTCCGGAGAGAAAGAAAGAAAAAAAGCGTCTATTTTGGACTATGACAAAAGGATGAATGATATGCATCGATCTAGTGTTTTCTCCATTTAATAGTGTAAGTTGTCGACCTTGAATTCATGATAAACAGATTTATATTTGCTATTCATTTATGACAAACGAAGTGGTCTTGTCGACATTGTAGATTTTGTAAAAAGTATGTTGAGCTTCTCATGATAGCGACAGCTTTTCCAAAAGTTATAAGCAGAAATGCATATTCATCTAATTCTGGAAAGGAGGTATTAGCATAAGAACTTCACATGAATCACACATCTGGCATAGTAAAAAACTTGATTCAAGCAATATAATGCTGTTGCTTAACATTTTGTTATTAGCCTGTTAGAAGAGGATAATCAGATTTGATAGCATTGATGAAAGGTTCTGTAATACATAATAGTCATATCAATCAAATTTTGTTTTCAGATTTTGTTGAGTTTTGTGATCCTTTGATTATTAGAGTCCGATTTTACGTGTAACATAGAACACTTGCTACCTTATTGCTCTTATATTTATCAAGTTTTAATTACACTAAGATTGCCGCGATCTTTGAAATACCTGCACTAGCGATAGTTGATCATCAAGCAGTTCTTGCTCTGAAAATTAACATTCCACATTAGTATAAAGGTCAATAAAACAAAACGAACAAAAGAATAATGCATAGTGTTCATTGCAGTTGATTGAGAATCGTAGATATTCTCAACAATTCAGTAGGGTTCTTCATGCAGTCGCTTTTGATGAAGGCACACCTACAGACGAAACGGACATGAATTATTATGAGAGTGAATTATCGACGAAAACATTTTTTTTCAAAAATCGCCGTTGGAGTTAAGCTGAAATTTCAATGCTTTATTCAGGAAACTTTTGTCTCATCGAGTATTCTCTTCAGGTAAGAAATTGAAGCTAATTCATTATTTCCTAAGTCAAAGTTATCAAATTTATGCCTTAGGTACTCAAACGTATGACAGGAAAATAGATTATTCTTTGCAAGTTAATGTTCCATTCGAGTATTCGTGCTATTTTTGATTTTTCTTATATACATGATCGTCGTCAACTGTGAAAACCTGATCTGTATGAATTACTCCCATTGTAAGCAATACACTATGATAATATTATTAGATGCCACGTTCTGAGATTAGCCTTAATCGACATCGACTTTGAGAAGAAGATACACGACTTTAGTGTTTTGGAATCGTTTGCTTCAGACGAGCTGTCTTCTCTTAAATAGTTTATTTCCATTATAGCACGCACTTTCAACAAGGGTAGTGGCAAGATGTTGGCAAGAGTGATCTAAAGTAAACCAACCTTAGGATTCGATGATCTTTATCCTAAGCAAATAGACGTTTCATTGTCTATAAATATATGTTATAGTTCGATGCGATGTAGCATTCAAATTCTAGAAGACACTTCGTGAATCATATAGCTCAAACTCGTTCGAACAGAGCTCACCTTTTGACAAGGAACTATACTAATATAACATATTACTCATAAGGTATTTTTTCATCTTCAATTGTTTACTCGATCACAGTTAAAAATATGACGTTTTGCTACAATATTTCCCTCCATGACGCGAACACCAACGAATAAACCGCACCCTCAGAAAACGCATCTGAGTTTTTATCCGAAGGTATAAACTCAGAAATTATCCACATAATAGTTGTATAAAGCTACGGTATTAGAACACGAATATAAGTGTGACAATTGTGGTCGTCAATGCAACTCACTTTCGCTCTCACTATCATAGACGTAACGCGAAATTCATTTATTTTCTGACGTGAACACCATAGTTACACAGAGTGCTGATAGAAATCATTGATTTATGATGTAATGGCCAATGATATCATGATGAGACACACTAGTCTTTGATATGAACACCATAGCCACACAGAGTGATGTTAGGAATGATTGATTTATGAAGTGGTGGCCAATGATCTGATAATGAGACATATTTGTCTTCTAAGTGAGCACCACGGTTGAACAGAGTGTTGGTGGGAATCATTGATTTGTGATGTATTGCCCAATGATATGATAATGAAACACAGCTTGTCTTCGAAGTGAACACCATAGTTAAACAGAGTGTTCGTAGGGATGATCGATTTGTGATGCGACAGCCAATGGTGTGATTATGACACACACTTGCCTTCGAAGTGAACACCGTAGTTGAACAGAGTGATAATAGGGATGATTGATTTGTGATGTGATAGTCAATGATGTGATGATAAGACACATTTGTATTCCAAGTGAGCACCATAGTTGAACATGGTGCTTATCAGAATGATTGATTTGTGATGTGATGGCCAATGATGTGATGATGAGGCATACTTGTCTTCCAAATGAGCATCGTAGTTGAACAGTGTACTGGTACGAATAATTGATCTGTGATGTGATGACCAATGATGTCATGATGAGACACACTTGTCTTCCAGGTGAGGACCATAGTTGGATAGAGTGCTCTTAGGAATGATTGTTTTGTGATGTGGTGACCAATGATGTCATCATGAGACACATTTGTCTTCCAAGTGAAGACCATAGTTGAACAGAGCACTGTTAGGAATGATTGATTTGTGATGTGATGCCCAATGATGTGATGTTGAGACACACTTGTTTTCAAAGTGAGCATTATAATTGAACAGAGTGCTATTGGGAATGATTGATTTGTCATGTCATGGCCAATGATGTGATGATGAGACACACTTGCTTTCGAAATGAGCACCATCGATGAACAGAGTGCTCCTAGGAATAATTGATTTGTCATGTCATAGCCAATCATGTGATGATGAGACACACTTGTCTTGGAAGTGAGCACCATAGTTGAACAGACTGCTGGTAGGAATGATTGATTTGTGATGTGATGACCAATCATGTGATAATGAGAAACATCTGTCTTCCGAGTGAGGACCATAGTTGAATCGAGAGTTCGTAGAAATGATTGATTTATGATCTGATGGCCAATGATGTGATGATGAGACACACTTGTCTTCGAAGTGAGCACCATAGTTAAACAGAGTGCTGCTAGGAATGATTGATTTATGATGTGATGGCCAATGATGTGACAATGATTAGACACACTTGTCTTTGATGTGAGCACCATAGTTAAACAGAGCGTTCCTAGGAATGATTGGTTCGTGATGTGATGGCCAGTGATGTGATGATGAGACACACTTGTCTCGAAGTGAGCACCATAGTTAAACAGAGTGCTGCTAGGAACGATTGATTTATGATGTGATGACCAATGATATGATGATAAGACGCACTTGTCTTTGATGTGAGCACCATAGTTTAACAGAATGTTGGTAGGAATTGTTGATTTGTGCTGCGATGGCTGATGATGTGATGATGAGATACACTTGTGTTGGAAGTGAGCACCATAGTTCAACAGATTGCTGTTAGGAATGATTGAGTTTTGATGTGATAGCCAATGATGTGATAATGAGACACACTTGTCTTTCAAGTAAGCACCATAGTTGAACAGAGTGCTCTTAGGAATGATTGATTTGTGATGTGATGGTCAATGATATGATGATGAGACACACTTGTCTTCCAAGTAAGCCTCATAGTTGAGGAGAAGGCTTATCAAAACGGTTCATATGCAAGGTGAAACTTTATTTAGTTGGAGCGTTGAAGTTTGGAACTCTGCTGTGGATGATTTCTGAGTAACAGATTCGATGCCAGAAGTGCCAAAATAATAGACGGTCACAAATTTGAGTGTTAACAAGTCTGAAGACTCTTGGAATATTTTAGTCGGAGACACGCATTCAACGAATAAAGTGTTCGCTTTTGTCACGACTGCAGTTTTTCTTCTCTTACTATTATAATGCATCGGCAGGAAAAACTAGTGGTTTGAAATAGATGATCTATAGATTCCACAGTACATGAATAAACGATTAAATGATAGAACTGTGGAAATATTCGAAATAATTGAAACTTTGGAATTTTTGAATGCTTGAAATTATGAATTGGAGTTCCTCGATATATTGGAATGGAAACGATTCAATCGCTATTCTTTCGCTTTTCATCTTTTCTCAGACATCAACGCATTTCTCTGAACTCTGCTACTTCTAATTATTGCTATTCTAAGCTTTCGATAGATTTAAGTAGTCGTAATAAATATCGTTCTTTGAAAATGCTCGCTATATCTACTTATGAAGGACAAATATGATCCTGCAGCTTCGTAAGGCGCCTCAGCTTTTTAATGAACCTTGAGTTCCAAAAAGCACAAACGTCAATCAAATGTTTTAGAGGTCATTATACCCAAAAGCTTAGTGATGAATCTGATAATATTCGTTGACTTATTTAAACTCGATACGATCTCCTATCGGTCACGAGAGCATTTTGATTGAAAAAATCCTCAAATATAATTTTAAAAAAATAGCACGAAGAACAAATGTTGGAAAAAATCAGAATAGGACTTTTATAAAATCAGAGTGAAATACACATGGCCAGAATGAAACGTGTTACAAAATATCGTAATGTAGATGAAAAGTTGATTGGTCTTTAGACATTTGTTCTTGATGTTACATATAGATCGGAAGAATAGTGGATTCGCAAAAGCAAGGACTCTTCTAAACTTAATTGACAGATCATGTAATTATAGTTAAACATTCTGAAGAATAAATTATCAAACAAAGCGATTCTTTGACGGATGTCCGAATCCCCATATATGACATACGAACTTACTGAATAACTGATATTGTTAGATCTATCTATCGAATGCGTTTTCTTACCTTTGTTTATATGTGTACGTGCTGATATTCGTATACACTTCTTTATTATATCTTTTCGCCATATCATATACGTATATATGAGAAGGACAGAAAGAAAAACAATATACCAACAGAGAAGATCAAAGAAGATGAAATAAAGTAGAGGATGATATGAAAGAAATGATTGCGATAACAGACGACATCACCCTAACATACTTACCTATTCGAGGAAAATGTCCTATCAACATTTTTAATATGTCACTAAGAGTTGATATATAGAAAGTGAAGGAAAAAATATAATATAACGATAACAGAATATAAGTGTTCAGTTGATGAATACGATAAGCTAAAATATAACGAGAAGAAAAGAAAACGATGAAATATAACAAAACAGAAGAAAAATAACAATCAAAATAACGAAACACAATGTTCGCGTAGACATGTGTCATAGACAAAATATAACAATAAATTAAATATATGCAATGAACAGTAGATAACGGTTAGACTAGATATAAATCTGAATGAAAGTATCAAAAAATGGATAATTATGTGTATATAGTTGCGATTACATTCTATTCAGTTGGTTCGATGTGTATCACGATGCTGGTGTAAATGTCGATCATCTTTACAAGATGATCTATTTAATTTTTTAAATTGTTTATAATGTTCGATCGTGAATCAGGAGTCAATATTTTGTTCATATTCTGATAATAAATGTTTATTTCTTATACCAATGTACAAAGTTCTTCAATGTGTTCGAGATGAGGTTGATGTGTTGATAGCAGAAAATGCAATTGAATTTTGTTGAAGAATCATTTTTATGTTCGTGATGATGAAAAGGTGATCTATATTATGTATAATAATCTCGTGTTGCTAAAGTTTTCTGCGTCGTTTTACTGTACAACTACGACTATGAATTCTTCTAGGTTCTTCACGATCTAATACATTAAATTTTCCTTGACCATCATCTGTAAAATATTTGAAATTAATTCTAACTGATTTGTTCGGATCATTGTTTGTTTCGTGATTTGAGTTTTATATTGTTTGTGTTATTTCAACTAATCGTTGTATACTTGTTTCATTATCTTCAGATAATAATTCATGATAAAGAATAAATGCATTTGATTAAGGTACTGATTGTTGTATTATGAATAAATCATCTTCGTCAGATATAGATTCAACTTCAATATTTGTGGGATGTGTATTTATTGTTGTTGTTGTTCTAGATGTTGTATAACTGCGTGTTGACAAATGATGGTGATTTAATTGGGTGGGGTGTAGGTGTCGGTTAACAGAAAAGTCTCATCTACACCATCACCCACTCACACCCACACACCCACACACCGCACCCACACCCACACCCAAACCCACACCCACACCCCACAACCACCCATATCCACACCCACACCCACCCTTGGCGCCTTTCTCTTTCTTTTTCTCCTTCTGAATTTTTCCGTCAAAAGTGCTTTTTATTTTTTATCAATTGCTAGATTGTTTCCATAGCTGCGGACATATTGTGTCGATATAAGAAACAAACACATATGAACATAGTCATCTTAATTTTCTTTGACTGTCTCGATCTAGAGAAAAACAATCACTTATGTGTGAAGGTTAACAGATCTCATGCATTCAACCGATTTATGTAAGTACTGTAAAATGAAACTCTTAAACATTCTGAAATATCTTATTTAATAGTAGGTGTAATAATTATATCTGAGAATCCTATATGTTTGTTTAAAAGTTTATTCTTCGGTTGATAATGTATCTAAAAGACTAAAAAATAGGTACTCAACCGATATAGAATCCTCTCTATTTTTTGAAGATCTATTGTTCTGGAGTAAGTATCAAAAGAGAGTTAGAGATGGAGTTGATCATTATTTTTCGTTAAAGAGAGTGAAAAGACTGAAAGCAAATCATCGCTTCGCTCCCTTTAAAATAGTTTGAATTTTTAGCGGACAACTAATAAATTCGGTTAAGCTAACCAGTAGAACATCCCAGCCGTTTTATATCTCTCCTCACCCTATCAGAATTGTGCTTTCTGTATAGTACCTGTCCCTGTTTTTCATGGACATATCTCCTTTCTTTCAGTTTTCTTTGCATGTTTATTGTTATTTTTGTGTATCTTTTTTCTTTTTTTGACATTTTTCCTTGTGTCGTTCCCCTTTGCATGTGTGTTCTCTTTTTTCGTCAGTCCTATGTGAACTGTCCCATTATATGTCCTTCCCGTTTTTCCTTTATGTTCTCCCTTTTTCATTATTATTCCTCTGTAAGCACTTACGAATCTTACAATAAAATAGCAAAAACAAAAAAAAAAAAAGGTTGTTAATGATAAAATAATTATTTTTAATGTATTCTCGGTCGTAAAAATATTTTATTTCTTGTGAAAAAAATCTTCAACTTTGAGATTTAAAAAAAAACAATAAATGACACAGTAAAAAAGGAAAAAAACAGTTATAAACGGAAAAATAAATTGAAGAATACAACAAAATATCATACAGTTGTTACATACAACAGATGTAAAAAAATAAACACAAAAAGAATTCATAAAAAAACGCAAAAAAATTAAACATATTTTTTTATTATCATCGAGAAAATGATAAAATTAGGATTTAAAATATTTGTAAACAACAATAAACTTAAAACAAAAAAAAACAATTTTTTAATACTAAAAATCACTTATTAAATACTTTTCAATTATCATTTAAAAAATTCGTTGAACGTTACATGTATATACCTTTGTTCAGCCATTTTGATGATTCAAACGACTCTATATTAAATATAATATTATCTAATGAGAATTTAAGTATGACAGTGAGTACACAAGAGTGCGCGTACATCACTTGTGACATTACGTGCACCAGTACATACAAGCTGACTTGAGATAATCTTTTTTTTTAGGTAGTTACTGAAGGTAATCAACCACCATCACAACAACAACAGGTCACAACAAAAACAGGTCACAACAGCAACTACATCAAATCAAAATGATAATGATAAACAACAACAAATAATTGATCTTCTTGTTCAAGGCGTGCACAAATTAACGAATTTGATGGAAAAAGTTGATACACATATGGAGCAACAAAATTTATTAATGAAACAAATATATATGAACAATTAAAAAGTGGTCCAACTGAAGATAGTGCAACATTAAGTAAATAAATTCGACCAGAGTGTGAAAAATCTATGCAAGATGTAAGTTCTATGCATTTATCATATTTATGATAAAATATTTGATTTTTTTTCTAGCATATGGAAATTCATATTGATAATGAAATAAAATTAAAACTTAATGTAAGTTTGAGAAATAAATATAATAATAATAATATGATTATTTTAAATAAAGGGTCTTCATCAACATTATGTTAAATTACATAAAAATCAAAAAAATCAAAAATTAATTGATTTACTTGGTAAATTAGAATTTAATCAAGTAGCTATTTTTGTTAAATCAGTATCACGTTGTACAACTTTATGCAAATTCTTAATTGAACAAGGTTTTCCTGCTATTGAAATTCATCGTGAAATATCAAAAGAAAAACAGTTTCTTTATTTTTAAATGAAATAATAGTAAAAAATGAAATAATTTTCTTTGTTTAGTTTGGTACGTTATAAAGAATTTAAAGAATTTCAAAAACGTATTCTTGTTGCGACAAATTTATTTGAACGTGTTAATATTGTATTTAATTATCATATGCCAGAAGATACAGATACATATCTTCATCGAGTATGTTCGAAAGAAAATTTGTTTGTTTATTTATTAAAAAAATATTTAATTTTAGGTTGCTTGTGCTGGTCGATTTGGTACAAAAGGTTTAGCAATAACATATGTTGTTAATGAAAGTGATGTAGCAATTCCTAATAAAATTCAAAGTCGTTTTGAAGTAGAAATTACTGAAATGCCCAATGAAATCGATGCAGACACATACAGTAAGTATTTATTTTTAATTTATTTATATTCTAATAATTTTCTTCTAGTCGAAAATCGTTAATTATCAGGTCTTATTGGTTCAAATGAAATATGTAAACTCATTTTTTTGTTCTCGTCTCGGTTATTGTCATTATTACTTTTCTGTTCTTTTTCTTGTTGTTTTTTTGACAAACAAAACTTGTGTTTAAGTATATTGGAGAATATGAAGTTATTAATGTGTTCCTTCAAACACTGTCTTATTTTTTTTTCTTGTACTTATTCTTTGATTGTTACAACCAAAAACAAAATAAAATATTCTTAGAAACATACGTGAAAATTCTGTTAATTCGGTTTATTTCTTATGTATTGTATAATTAAACAAAACGGATTCTTTTTCATCAATGTAACATAGCTAAGAAATCGATGATACAAAAGACTCAATGATTAGTGATACTTATTATCAGAGATGTCCATCGCGGCTGAAAACCCGCCGCTGCCGCGCCGCGGCCTTAGAAAAAAAAGCTGCTGCGACGGTTTATAAAAAAATGTTGCCATGACGCTGCCGCACCGCGATGACTTATAAAAGAAACACTGCCGCGCCGCTGCCGCGATGAATTATAAAATAAACGTGCCGCCACCGCGCCGCTGCCGCGACGGTTTTCAAAAAAGTGTTTCTAATTTCACTGCTGTGACTATATTTAACCAGAGATATGGGTACTAGCCCATCAGATTTATTCAATATCAGGGCGTTTCATTTGTAAATCCTGAAATTCTATTAAATTCATACAGTTTTTCAATGTCCTCCAAAAAAAATCCTGCCGCTACCGTGATGGTTTTTTAAAAAACCTGCCGCTACCGCGCCGCTGCCGCGATGACTTTTAAAAAATCTGCCGCTGCCGCGCTGATTTTTTCAAAAAACCTGCCGCTGCCGCGCCGCCACCGCCATCGCCGCAGCGGCAGCGGCAGCGCCGCGATGGACATCTCTGCTTATTATGTTACGATCGTTTAAAACAAATTCATAATTAAAAAGTTTTTATACACAAATAATTATATAGAATTTTCTTCCAATCAATTGATCTTTAATAGCATATGTGAATAGTTTTTGTGCATATTAGTTGGGTGTGGGTATGGGGTGTGGGTGGGGTGTGTGGGTGTGAATGAAGAGATCATGAAAATCTACACCCACACCCTGCTGACATTATAATACATATAATTATTTTCTACGAAAAACTAACGCCGAGAAAAATAAATGCAAAAGGATACGATGCGATGTTGAATAAAAACAAAAGAAACTATCAAATATTAGATAAGAAGTGGAGACTCAAATAAAGTGAGAGAGAAAAAAACAATACAACGCTTCTTCCCTTTATTCTGACACGTACTCAAAAGGACAGATAGAAGTAATTGCATGTTTATTTCTTGAAATAACTTAGTTGTGTAGTTGAATATGAATATAAATGATATTGGATAATATTGAGTAATAATTACAAAAAGCTTATAGAGTAAAAAGCAGCCCATCATTGTACATAATATTTAATTTGATTGACTGTTGAAATAACATAACAAGTAGGTTCAAGATATCCTATATTACTTAGTCTTCATGGTGAAAAAAAATCTTAATCACATAGCCGTTTAATTGACGTGATTTGAAAAAATCAGAAAAAAAAAATGTTATAGAATGATAGTGTTCTTTTATCTTTTTGACTAAATTAGAGTGATTCGTGCACATTTTTAGATTTCTTTTTTTAGTGTATTTTGTAGAGCTTTTTTGCTCTATCGAATCCGTAAGAAACTATTTTCGGGCCGCGTGTTTTACAATATTTTTCTTCGAGAAAAATGTTGAAAAACAGCATCTAATTATCAAGATGATGACATATTTTTTTTGTAGTGTTTGTCGAAACATTGTCTCTCATTAAACCTATTAAAAAATTATTTGAGAAAAACCTAAATATACAGTTTTGTAGAGCAAAATTTACTCCATCTTTTGAGATGTTGTTCAAATCGATTCGATTAACTTTTATGAAAAAAATTAATTAAATACTAAAAACAGAAAAAAACGAAAAAAACATGATAATTATTTTTTGAGCTTCATCGAGATCCTTTCAATGTTTCTTTCATAACTATTCAAGAATCATTCAGGGAAGGCTAAAATTTTGAATTTAGAGGTTTCTTGACATGCTCTTTCATTTGCAATAATAAAAAAGGCAGGTCAACATTTTTCATATGACACCATACTAGGAAAATGCTCGATATAGCCGTGGACTCTCTGTTAATTGAGTTTCTAAAGATATTGCTAGAAGACATGATATGTTATTTTTCTTTTTTTTTCTATTTTCTGTAAAAATATTGTGGCATGGATATAGATGTGAACATATATGTTATTACACTCTTTGTATCACACCCATATGCTTGTTAAGAAACTACTTATATATTCAAGTTTTGAAATGGATCATTGACAAATCAATATTTCAGAATATAATATGATTTAACGTTACCATTAATAAAAAGCGCTAGGTTTATTTTCTTTAAAGTATTCTATCGTAAATAAAATTTGATGTTTATCATTCTATTAATTAATTCGTAGTCAACAAAAGAGAGACAAGAAAGAATTGTTGGTGCACTAGATGATTCTAGTCTTTAATATCTAAACAAGGGCAAAAGAATAAATTAAAATGAAATCATAATAAGAAAGACACAAACATATTAATTTGAAATACGTTGGCTTAAATGGTATAACTTCATCAATATCTAAATATTTGAATTCATCATCAGTTATGATGCCCTTAAATGAGCATCCAATGCTGGTAAATGTAGATTTTCCACAGACTCATCGAGAAAATTATACATGCGTTCCTGCTGTATGTATGCAAACGAACCATCAAGATTCATATCAAGAATTAATATACTATGTTTCACATTTAGTCATATAACATGATCAACATATATTTGAACATGTTCAATTTGTAAACCGCTTGATAATTGATGATATTTAGAAAACTCTACTAGCAAAGAAAAAAAGATAGGATTGTTCAATGCAGAAAAGACTTCATTTAATTTATGAAAAAGACCACATAGAAAAATTAATTTGCATATTTCAATATCGCATATTACAAGTAATGGCTCCATTTTACATTCCATTTAATAATTCTTTTTAAAGGTATATATACTTTCAAATATTGTAAGACTAATATCAACTTAATTAATAAGAATTATCGTGTTCACAATGTAATTCATATATGAACTTCGGAACAATGGATGGCAATGGAGCAAGTAGAAAAAATGATATTAGAATCAATTTAAATATTAATACAAAACATATGACCTGGAGGATTGCTCACAAATGATAATTGTCTTCAAAAAAGAATCGATTATTAGAGAAATATTTTCGTCTTATTTATTGAGATGTTTCGAACAGAATTCTTTTCACTTTGCTTTTCTAGCACACTGATTTTTATTTGACTTTCCTGATATAATCGTTTATCTGTGTACAAATTTCTAGAACGTAAAGAAGTGTATTTAAGATATTGAAGTTTCAAGGAAGGCTTTGAAATATGTTAAAATAGTCCAAGTCTTGTTGTTAATATCGTTTGGTTTCTTTTGCCGTTGCCGGGAAATTCTCGGACTAGGGGTCGAATTCTGTTGTTGCCGTCAGTTGCTATGGAAACGTATCGAGGTCATTTTCATCTTTCTTCCTATGAGATAACGAAAAAGCCGTAAAACTTCAAATTAAAACTTGCGCTCATTAGATTTTTCTTCGACATACACTATTTGAGTACTAAACAAGTATAAAGTTATCTAGTGTAAGAAAAAATCGGGTTCTTTTGACAAACAGTGATAAAATAATAGTAACACTGTCATTGAAGGATACACCATATCTAATAATTATCTTTATTTTCTTTTGACATTTTTGAATAATGAAATATATGAATGCAATACAGTTAAATTTTAAAAAACCCTTATGAGTTTTTTTACTTTTGTTTAATTGACTTTGCATAATTACTTGATAATGACGATCAAAAAATATTATATTGATGTTAGATAAAGAGCTGAAGATGAACATAAATGAAAGTAAGTCCTTAAGAATGTAGCTATGTTGGTCACTTCTGGTTCTATTGCACAATGAAAACTTATAAATAATTGAAAAAAAGTAACTGAACACTTATACTTTTTCTTTTGATTAACAAAAAAGAAATAAAACAGTAATTTCTATAAATTTTCCAAATAATTTCTAATTTATACAAAGCAAGATCCTCTGATTTTCTAGCTATTGGTAAATTTTTATTTGAATGGCTATTGCGTATACTAACGTGAAAAACACAGATATGCGATATACTACACAATAGAGGATAGTTGTCATCGAAAACTAGAATATTTATCTTTCTAATGTTTTGTCATAGTTTTTCCATCAAAACTATCAATTGATGAAAATAAATAATCATATGTTTTTTTCTTTCTTTATAAATTGAGAATTTCGAATAAAAAAATCAAACAATTGTTCAGTTACATTTTATAAGCATTTATCAATGACCCGTCTACTAAATTATCCATAATCGATTAAAATAAATATTTCATCTAATAACCAACATGCAACGTCGTCTAAAGATAACACCCACTCAACTCTCATCATGTTAATTCAAAATTGTTTATCTATCTCATATTTCATTTTCTCATGTATATATTAGCTTTCAAAAATCACTATACAAATAAGAGCTATACTCAAGAAAGACTATTTGGAATGAAATTTTTTATTGTGCACATATTATTTTTTTTACTGAACATATTAGAAATTTATTTTAAAAAACTCTTATCACATTTATAGCAATCAACATCGGCAACCGACATTCGCAATACATCGTTCACCAGCTAAACAACATCAGCTTTTATGTAGAGCATAATTACATTCAGTTTGTCTAGAAGGACAATCTTTGACTTTCGATGAAGTATTTTCATTTGTTGCTAAAATTGCATCTATAACAGATTTCCAGTCTGATAATGACCATGATGAACCAGCACTTGTGCTCACACCATTAATAAGAAATGTAGGTGTACCAACAATGCCTAAATATAATATAAATTATAAATAGACTAATATATATATATATTTGTTATATGTTCATTAATTAATTTACCTCTTGAACAAGTATATTTCTATGAAATACGTGTTGCATCATTAATATCATCACTCATCATTCCAAACATAAATTTATCTTTTGATATTAAACCAATTTCATCTACAAATGTAGCAAGTGAATCAATAACTTGTGGCATAGTCATAGATTTTGTTCCATCATTATATCACATTGTTTGATTTTCAAATACTTTTGTTGTATATAAATATATAGCATCTAAATTTCGATTAGTTACATTAGCAATAACATGTAAACCTTGAGAAGCTACAAATGCATTTGTATGATAAGGAAGTGAAAATGTATGGATACGAAAATGAATTCGTGTTCCATAGGCTTGAATAACTTGTAAGACTGTTCCCCAAGAAGCTTTACTATTTGGTCAAAATGGATCTAAAAACATATCAATTACAACATGAGCATCTGCTGGTTCACCAACACCATATCCATCTGGACGTGATGGAATTGGTACTTGAGTTGAAACCAAACCAACAAGTATTGCGAGAATGATTGTCAATTGCATTTTGATTTGTTTTTAATTGTTCTTTTTGCTGTTTGCGGTAGTTTTTCGTTTGGCTATTTATATCATATGAATGGCAAGATAAGAATAGAATGAAAACAGTCATGCACCATCATAGTTCATACAATGTCTTTTGTTATTTATAAATAACTCAACAGCATAATGCTTACAAAGCATGCAATTTACGACACAATAGAATTTCATGATGTTATCAATAACAGCACAACATTTCTTTTGTGGTTTAACAAGTATAATCGAGTTTTGCTCATTTGAAGTGAGCTTGAAGAAAACTTATTACAATGATTTGAATCTTCTTCTCTGAGATGTTTACAGGATTGTCCAATACTCAGATTTAGTCAGGTGACCCTCGATTTTTAGCCTTTTGACATCCTCATCTTTATTGGGATTTTATATTAATAAAATATAAAAAAGAGTACTATTACATTATTTGATGGACAAAATAAGAGAATGCAACACGTTGAGTCTGCTCGACAGCAGCAGCAACAGCTTCTTTTTCTATGGAGACTATAATGTTGCATGAATTTGCATCCTATTTGTTGAAACCAACCTAACTGTACAAATTTAGCACAGTAATGGAAGAGACTTTCAAAGAGTTTCTCGAAAATTAAGATTATCAATTCCATTAATAGATACTATGCAAAAACTTAGTGCATTGTAAATAAAAAAAAAAAGGAGTTCACTCTGTATTTATTCAATGTTTTCGTTGAGAGAAAATGAGATTAGTGAAGTGTTAAATTTATTCGAGGAAAATCTTTCGATAAAATTTTTACCAGACTCTATAAAAACGTTAATTCTTTTTCATTGAAACATAATTCAAAGTCGACAACTGCTATGTCATCGTCAATTACATTCACTAAACGTTTTTTTTTTTCAAAATTCAAAAGTTTAGAATTACTGATCTGTATACCATACTGAAACAATTAAGATTTATTCAAACAAATTCGCTCATCAAGAAAAATATAGTCATGCCGCAAAAGTGTCATAGTTGACATAGTTAACAATTATATAGTTGCTCGTGTATGTTCGTTTTCTTTTGTTGCATATCAATTGTTTAAGTAAACTTATTTTCTATTTTGTTGATATACTTAAATCAACGAATCTAAAATGACTATGAAAATAAAACAAAACTTATGATTATCTCACATTTTTTTCTTACACTACTTGACAAAAGTATCCTCCCTCGGATCTCAGTCCATACAAGAGCTGAGCGGCTGAAAATAGGTGTGCAGGTAGCCCATAAAGAATGTAGGT